CCAAGCCGTGCATCCTCGTAAGCTCAGCGTCCAATAAACTCAGACAGTAATGCGAGACCCTCAGTATCACGCTCGCGAAAAGGATTCCCTTATACCGTGTATTCTCTTAGATCTCGAGGCCTCAAGCGCCGTCCTGATAATACGTTACATAACGTTAGATTATAATTAATTAATGCAGTAATATAATAACGCATTTAAAAATTGCAGTACGTACTTGATTTCAGTCACTTGATTATCGATGTGCTTATTAATCTTCTGCCAAATTGTATCGAGCGCGCCGGTGGACGTCTGAAGCCACTCCTTCAGCACAGAGTGGGCACTCTCCACCCTACAGGAGGTTGTGCTTCCAAAATGTGTCCCTCGGTTGGTCCAAGCCTTCACAAACTTCTCGCGGTGCCCTAACATTGTGCTCTCCACATACCGTATCACCTCTGGAGACTTCAAATATTTTGCGTGCAGCTCGGCAACGGCATCGGTGTAGGCATCGAACGTACTGGCCTCTGCAATCGCCTTCCACGTACTGTGCCTGAAAATCTCCGAGAATTTTTTACTCTTCCCAAATAGTTTGTAGGCTTTGTCTTCCACATCCTTGTTGATGTGCCACGTGCAGAGTAAGTAGGCTGATTCAGGAAAATGCCTCTGAATAGGAGTGAGTAAACCCAACTCTCTGTCACTGACAACAACATAAGGATATACGTCTTGACCTATCAGTAGTCTCAACTTCTCTAGAACCCAGTCGTAACTGGCCTCTTTCTTGTCCCTGATGAGCGCATACGCAATTAGGAAGTTCTGGTTGTACTGTGTCATCCCAATCATCTCGACCAACGGCATATTGTACCTGTGCAAATGAGACCAAGAAGACAAAAAATATAATCAAATAAAAGTTTACTTAATCAAACACACTATTTAAGATTCATACTAATAAAGTATTTATAAAGTAACATACCTGTTGGTTTTATACGTGGAATATATGCCGACATACCAGTGATATGTCTGAAATAGATTGATCGTCGCAGGATGGGCCATGAATATATGCTTCAACGCTTTCGTGTTCGGATCGGATTCTGCATAAACTGTATATTCGCTGCTCACGGCCAAATGCATAAGCTGGGAAGGAACGTCTCTACCGTCGAAACTCTCTTTCCGCAGCTTATCTCTAAAGTTATATACCTGTCACCGATTAGCTTTAATTATAATGATTATTATAATTTAAAAAAAAATATATTATGTTAATAAACAAAAAAGTATATTAATGCGATTAATTTGATAAAAAAATTTTTAACTATCACAATAATAATACATTAGTAAATATATTAAAATTTATTAATTATTACAATAACTTTTACATATAAAAAATTACTAATTATCATAATTAACTTTAAAAAGTTAATTAAAACATATATTACAAGATATAAATATATATACCTGTGGCACATGAACGTTGTCTCCCGGATTCTTTTCCTTCAGCGCGGCCATAATTTTTGCCGGGGCCACCTGAGCGTCCGTCATATCACGAACAATTTTCTTAGATGAAGCGCTGAGGCCGCTTAACTGGCGATGACCCTCAGGATATACAGCAAATGTATGGTTATGGTAGCCCTTCTCTTCATTGCTACATCTACAGATCCTCCAGTATGGAGCAACGGACACCTTTTTTACTTTGATCTCAAAATTGCAGCCGCACTTATTCGTTTTTGTCTTTCTAGAATTTTCGCCTGGGCTTCTGTACCGTTCGCCTCTATGGCACTTCAAAAGCCTGACCGTTTTCTTTTTGTGGCTCGAAATTATTAATAGGAAACCATTCAGCATTGCCTGGTGTTTTGCAGCTTCAATAGCGTCCTGAGCACTATTATATAATGTACAGGTATCGAAACGCAGACTATAATCAACACCATTTCCTCCAAAATTTTCCCATGACTCCTGCTATATAGTACAATATTTATATTTTTAGAACATGTTAAATTAAAATAATTAATTCTAGCATGTAACATAATAATTTGTAACTCATAACATGATATTATCTAACGTCCAATTTATAGCATAATGAAGTCTAACATGTAACACAATAATTTATAACTCCTAACACGATCATGATAATATCTAACGTCCAATTTATAATATAATCAACTATAACATGTAACATAATAATTTGTTACTCCTAACACGTTACTATCTAACGTCAATTTATAACATAACCAAGACTAACATGTAATATAATAATTTCTAACTCGTAACACGATAATATCTAACGTCCAATTTATATTATAATCAACATGTAACATAATAATTTGTAACTCCTAACACGATAAACGTCCAATTTATAGCATAATCAAGTCTAAAATGTAACATAATAATTTATAACATAATAATATAGTCCAATTTATAACATAATTATTTTGAATATATAACATAAAAAAAAAATTATTCGGCCAGTCGAACCGGACGGACTGGTTCCGACCGGCCGTCGTTTTCGGACGGCTTTTAAGCCGTCCGGTTCCGGCGGCCGGACACAAAAATTTTCGTACCTCCGAATTTGACGACATTTCACCGTACACTTTCCTCTGATATGTTTAGAAAAAATGAAAAAGACAAAATCGTCCAAGAGAAGCAGTGAGTAGTAAAATAGGGGCGATAAATAGTACCACCCTTTAAATTACATGAATGATATAAAATTTTATATCGCCAAGTTGCATATATAGTAGTATAATGACAGCAACTACTCCTTTTGAAATAGTCAAGTTGCTAATTATATATCAATTTGAATTAGGTGACATGTGAAACCAAAATACTGGAAGGCAAAAAAGTCAGACAATTCAAAATTTCCAATTATACTGTCCGTCCATTACCATTTAAATAAGGTTTTGGGTAAATGATTTACATATAAAGATAATTTTGTTCTATATTCTAAATTACTCTATTTTCGATACAATATTTTTTCAAATATATGATATCAGGTTATTAAAAATATGCATTTATACGAAAATTATGTCCACTTAGCGAGGTTTACCAATTTAGTCAACCTCTCATTCCCGACAAGATCCATAGAAGATATGGCCAAAACCGGTTTGGCAGTTTCAGGTCGGAACCATTGGTTTCAGGCCGTGTTATGGGCCCTGAACTGACCTAGTAACATTTACGGGTCTGCTCAATGAACTAGCGGTTTCGGGTCCCTTCATGAAAAGTCAATTCCCTTGGTTCGGTTTAAAAAAATAATAATAATAATAAAAAGTTCAAAAAAGAAAAAGAAAAAGCCAAATCATTGGTTCCGGTTCAAAACTAAAACCGATTGTTCAAATTTTGTAAATGCTTGAACTGGAACTGACTCGGGTAAAACCACATACCAATTCAAGGGGTGGATTTCGGGCAGAACTGGCGAACCGGTTTGTCATGTCTAATTAAGATATTTGTAAAGAGACTTGCTTTATTTTAACTCTTGGAGGTAGGGATGAAAACGGAAACGGTAATTTCCGATTACCGAGAATCGTTTTCGAAATTTTTTCGGATTTGGAGGCTAAACGGAAACGGTAACGGTAACCGGAAAAACGGAAATGAAAACGGTAAAAAAATTCGAAAATGAAAACGAAAACGGTTTAGCCCTTTTCCGATCGTTTTCGAAAATTACCGTATTTAAACGGTATTTTACCGTCGGTAATACCGGCCCAACTCATACTAGGCTCACTTTTAATTATAAAGCCCAATCCAAATCTCAAATGGGCCAAATGCCCAAATCCCCTTCAGCCCAACCCTGTGCCCAAATCCTGAAATCCCCTTCACCCCTTTCGGTCTTCACTCTCGAAATCTTGAAATCCCCTTCAGCCCAACCCTGTCATCTCTTCCATCGGCCGACGGCCATCGCAATTCGCCGCGCCTGCTCGTTGTCACTCCCGTCACCTGCTCGTCGCTGCCGCGCCCCACTCCCATCAACGTCGCAACCGCACCACCCGCTACAGGCTCCAGCTGCCGCCGCCTACCCCACTTTGAATTCACGCCAATAGTGATTTGTGTTTTGAATTCTGGATTTCGTTTGTTGTGGTTTTTTTGTGGATTTGGTGGTTCCATGGTTGATTTCTCACCTAATTGCTCCCATTTCATGTTTCAAATTTCAATTGCTACTATTATTCCATGAGAATTTGATGGACAAGTCACAATTCAATTGCTACTTATTGGAATTTGTATGGATTTTGTTATAGCAAATGGTGTGGATTTTAATTTGGATTTTGCCACTATTATGCCGTGAGAATATTTCAATTTATGTTTTAATGCTATATTTTATAATGTGGTGTGTTTATCGTTTTTTAAATACCGTTTTAATATATTTCGATCGTTATCGATGTATTTTCGATCGGAGAGTTTCGTTTTCGATATTACCGGAATACCGATGTCGTTTTCGTTTCCGACATTATCGTATCATTTTCGTTTTCGAGAAAAAAATATGAAAGTGGAAATGGTTGAGCCCTATGCCGATCGTTCCCGATCGTTTTCATCCCTACTTGGAGGTACCAACAACACTTTTGACTAATAATAATAAAATACACACAAAAACATTACACTCTTCCCAATCAACATATACCACTTTTTTTTGGTTTGTACAATGGTTGAGTGATTTTTAAATACACCAACTTGCACATTTTCAATACTATCACCCATGTGGGAGCATCAACCATGCCAGAAAAACATTACACTCTTCCCAATCAACATATACCACTTTTTTTTGGTTTGTACAATGGTTGAGTGATTTTTAAATACACCAACTTGCACATTTTCAATACTATCACCCATGTGGGAGCATCAACCATGCCAGAAAAACATTACACTCTTCCCAATCAACATATACCACTTTTTTTTGGTTTGTACATTGTTTGAGTGATTTTTAAATACACCAACTTGCACATTTAAAAAAACATGGTATTCAATTCAAGATCCAATCTTAAACCTTGAGACTCTACCCATCCTCATCATCATCAAACACACTCTTCTCTGAAAAACCAAACCTCAAAACAATGGCAGCTTATGCTGCCTTAGTTTCCCTAGTTGAGCTCCTTCACCCACACCAATTCCCTTCCCATCTCCAAACCCCCGAACTCGACTCCCTCTTCTCGAAAGCCCGTTCGCTGCAGTCCTCGCTCGAAAAAATCTCCCACGTACCCAAAAACCTCCGACCCACCGTAGCCCAACTCGACTCCGATATCCGAGACCAAATCTACCGAGCTCAAGACCTCGTCGAGTCCTTCCTCCTCGACCAATCCTCAACTCCTTATTTCCTCCGAGACTTAACCCAAATAATCGAAACAATCGATCCTCTCGAGCAAAATGCCTCGACCATCGCAACTTCCCTCGAGGAGGATTCTGATTCTTACGAGACAAGCGGCGGCCTATCCGCTTCTCCGCCTATCGACTCTTCCTCCGGCACCACCACCACCAAGATCGTCGGCCAGGAGGCCGATTTCAAAGCCATCACTACCAAACTAATGGACGAAAGCAACTCGAAGCTCCAAATCGTGTCAATCGTTGGCTTACCGGGAATCGGCAAGACCACGCTTGCTAAGAGCATTTACGAAGACCCGAGCGTGCAGAGCTGCTTCCCGACTCGCGCGTGGGTCACGGTCTCCCAAGACTCGCACGTAAATGATATATTCGCCAAGCTTTTAGCTTCCATGGAGACCGCAGGCCACAAGGCAGGGGACCGAGCGGTTCAGGGCAATGTTAACGAATTATCCCAACAGCTTCACTTGAGCTTGTTCTCCGGGAAGTACTTAGTCGTGGTGGACGATATGTGGGACGAGGGAGTCTGGGATAGGGTTCGGCAGTACTTACCCGACGAGAGGAACGGGAGTCGAATCATACTCACCACCCGTCTCAAAAACATAGCCGAGTACGCGAATAAGACGGGCTTCCGCCACGAAATGCAGCCGCTGAGCGATGACAACAGCTGGGTTCTTTTGTCGTTAAAAGCGTTCGGTGGAGGGCCGGGTTTTGACCACTTGGAGAGTCGAGGCCGGGCCATTGCGAAAAACTGCGGCGGGCTTCCGTTGCTGCTGATCGTGATCGGAGGTCTTCTTTTCCAGGAGAAGAAAACCGAGGAGTATTGGGAGAGTATAAAAGAAGACACGTACGCGGCTGCTTCGAAAGGCGATCAGAAGACTTCCTACTCGGAAATCTTGCTGTTGAGCTATAATCACTTGCCGCGAAGGCTTAAAGGATGTTTTCTCTACATGGGGGCTTTTCCGGAAGACAGCGAGATTCTAGTCTCGAAAATCGTGAGGCTTTGGGTTGCGGAGGAATTTTTAAAGCCGGCCGGTGAGAAAGAGAGTGCGGAGCAAGCCGCGAAAAGGTGCATAGTGGATCTTATCAAGAGGAATCTGCTCTCGACTCGCAAGGAGACTTCCAACGGACATACGAAGGCTCTCGGAATGCACGATAGCCTTCGCGACGTGTCGTTGAAGCAGTGCCGTTTAGAGAAGTTCTTCCACACGATGAATAGGTTCGTCGAGAAGGATCAGCTTCCGGAAGGTACCGGAGAGCAGAGGCGCCTGTCGGTGCACAGGAATATCTTCGTGTGCATGAAGGAAGGTTACGACTCGGCTAAGTCGGTTTTGTCCACGCGTACGCTGATTTTTCCGGGCCCGCATCATCATCACCCGTTGCCTTATACTCTGACCTTTGACCTTCTGAGGGTGTTGGATGCTCTTACGGTGTACTTCATTGAATTCCCGTCCGAGATTCTTCAACTGATTCACTTGAGGTTACTATCGCTGACCTACAACGGCAAGCTTCCGTCAAAGCTGTCCAAACTGCAAAAGCTTCAGACACTTATCGTCCACCGACACCCAAAGATCATATTCATCGGCTCATCATATCTGCCGGCCGAAATATGGGACATGCCGCAGCTAAGGCATCTTTTGTTCATGGAAAGCGATTTTCCTCATCCGTCAGAATGCGCAACCGTTTCTAACAAAAATTCTGTTCTCTTCCGAAACCTCCAATCGCTTTCGGATGTAAACGCAGCTTCTTGTACTCAAGAGGTGCTTAAGAACATGCCGAATTTGAAAAAGCTAGGAATGTGGGCCGAAAAGCCGGGAGATGTAAACTTTTACCTCGACGAGCTGCAGCATCTCGAAACATTGAAGTTTACTGTCCTAAATCCCATTCCTAACAAAAGCGTTAACTTCCTCCCTCGATTTTCTTTCCCCGAAACACTGAAAAGGCTAACTCTAAGCGGGTGTGGGATACCTTGGGATGAAATGAGTGTGATTGGACAGTTGCCGATTCTTGAAGTGCTTAAACTGCGTGAACTCGCTTTCCAGGGGAAAGGATGGGCTCCGGAGGAAGGAGAGTTTTTGGCATTGAAATTTCTGCTGCTTGAGTACGTGGATTTGAAGTATTGGGTTGCCGAGCACTCGCATTTCCCCTGTCTGGAAAGCTTGATTATGAGGCACTGCTATAAACTCAAGGAAATCGATTTTCCAGACATTAGGAGCATCGGAGGGCTTAAGCTGATTGAGCTTGTCGACTGTAGTCCACTGGCTGTGGAGTGGGCGGAGAGTCTCGAGAAAGATAACAAAGATAAGAAGCTTAAGATACGAAGTTATTCTTCGTGGAAATAGAGTTTTTTCGCGTGAATATGCAGTTTTTCGGTTTTTGGTAAGTCCTTTACTGCTTCACAAAATAAATGGTGCATGAAACAATCTAATCAAGACTGGTACTGCTGAAGAAAAAGCATCCAAACTTTAATAGACCGAATATTGGAATCAAGATTACTACTGTAGGATGAAGAAATATTGTTGAGGGACTTGACTAGTTGATTTTCTGTGCAGAGTGAAGAGCAGTGAAGTGCCATATTATGTATCCTGTGTCAAGCTTTGTTTAGAGTTGGATTTGAACAAGTTGTTATTGCATTTGGTTATTGAATTTTTCTTTTTGTTTGTTGGATATTGAGATTGTAATATTTGAACTGAATGAATGGTGGTTACTTTTGTTTCGTCTTGAATTTTGTTGAATGAGATTTTGATCCTCATATTTTCTAGAGATTTTGAAAAGACTTCACTAATTATCTCTCAAACCATGCTTGGGTTATGATTAAAATATATACAAAATCAAAATTGACAGATAGAAATTCAAACTCTCCCAAGTCCCAACTTCTATCTACCGCCTTTCTCCAACACCAAATTGCTTCCTACCAAAGCACTAACAAATTGTGAACCAATCAATCACATAATGATAATATCATGTGCAAAACCATCCTACAACAAACACCATAGAGAAGCTTTGTGTGATGTGAAGCACTTCTCCTAATTAACTAAGAAATCAGGCAAAGATCCTCCGTGCAAAAACAAAATTTCATGACTTCAAATGAAAATTCATCCCCACTATATATAATATAAACCTTTTCACCATCAAATTCAACTTAAAAAACAAAAGAAAAAAACGCCATATAATATTGATTGATCCCATGGAAAATCACTTACCAAGTTCCCGCTACAAATCACTAGCCATCATTTTGGGTCTAATCTTGCTCCGTGCGCACGTTAGCAACTCATCGGGCGTGGTGGACCGAGGACGAGGCAAATGGCGGGTCCTCCTCCACAACACCGGCGTGGTGGCAATGCACATGGCCCTCACTCACCACAACACAGTCATCATGTTGGACCAAACGGGCTCCGGCCCGTCTGGCTATCAACTAAGAGGCCGGTCCAACGGGCCCCTTTGCCAGGTCACTCAGACGGCCGACCCGTCTTGCTACGCTCACTCGGTCGAGTACAATGTGGCGCAGAACAAAATCCGGCCACTCGACATCCGGACCGACTCTTGGGGCTCGTCCGGGTCCATGATGAGCAATGGGACCCTCATCCAAATGGGCGGCTTCGGATTCGGTGCGCGAAAGATTCGATATTTCGAGCCGTGCGGAGATGGAAAATGCGATTGGAGGGAAACGAGAAGGTTGTTATTGGCGGACGAGAGATGGTACTCGTCGAGCTTAAAACTCCCGGAAAAAAACGATCGGGTGATCGTCGTAGGCGGGAGGAACGCCTTTTCGTACGAATTCGTGCCTAAAGTTGAGGAGAAATCTTTCGACCTACCTTTCTTGCAAAAAACTTGCGAAAAAAACAAGGGAGGTAATAATTTGTACCCGTTTATCCACCTCTCGTCCGACGGGCATTTGTTTGTTTTCGCGAACCGGGACTCTATACTTTTTAACTATAAGAGAAACAGAGTTGTTAAGCATTTTCCTAGGATTCCGGGGAAGGGTTCGAGGAGCCACCCGAGCGGTGGCTCGTCGGTGATTCTCCCGTTGGGCCACGAGGATGGGTTTCGGAAAGTGGAGGTTATGATCTGTGGAGGGGCTGCTGACGGGGCATTCGAGGCGGCTAGACAGGGTCGGTTCTTGAAGGGATCGAGCTCGTGTGGGAGGATGGTCATCACAGGACATCATCACAACTGGAAAATGGACAACATGCCAGGTAATAATGTTTAAAGATTATGTCTTTTTTTAGTTAGCATTCTCTAACATGAGTCTATAGGGCCGCGCCTAATGAACGATATGATCATTTTACCGACCGGACATTTACTCATTATAAACGGCGCCAAGAATGGCTTGGCCGGGTTGAATTCTGCTTCGGACCCTTCTACTCAGCCATATCTCTACAAGCCAAAAAAATCGCGTGGGAAAAGATTTTCTGTACTCAAAGGAACTAAAATCGCGCGAATGTACCATTCATCGGCTGTGTTATTGCCCGATGGAAGGGTTCTTGTGGCGGGCAGCAACCCAAACGACAGGTACATTTACAGAAATGTCCCTCACCCGACCGAGCTACGATTACAAGCCTTTACGCCGACTCACATGGAGAAAAAATTCGACAACAAAAGGCCACACAACGTGTCTGTGTACTACACGAATGGGACCACTAACCAAAGTGCGGCTAATGGGGAAGAATTCGAAGTCGAGTTTCGGGTGAGGAGAAGTGAGGAGAAAATGAGAGTGAAGGATTTGGTTTTCACAGCTTATGCACCTCCATTCAACACTCATTCACTTTCCATGAATCAGAGGATGCTGAGATTGAAGTGCAACAGCCTTGAGAGGAATAGTAAGAATGGTGGGTGGAGGGCAGTTTTGGAAGTTCCAAAGTCTCTAAATGTGGCTCCTGCTGGTTATTACATGCTGAGTGTTGTGAGAAATGGGATACCTAGTGAAGCCCAATGGGTCAGGTTTATGCATGCTTGAGATGAGAATGAGATACAACATAAACAAGCAAATATTTTACACAATTGGTGTGTTCTGATACAATATAATGTCATAAGATGAGTATTCTGTTTAACCAACTTTGCTGCTTTCTTTGATCCCTTTTGTGGACATTAGCAGATTTATTACAGACTAAGACTTCTTTGCTAGAGTGTTTGTACTAATAATAACAAATCATCATGATTTGAATTTTACTGTTAACAATATTTAACTAGAGAAATTTTTATAACTTGGAAATATATGACTATTATTATCATTACTTTCACTTTAAAATTTGACTTTCCAAAGCTGAAAATATATTATTATCTTGTTAAAGTTATTTTTTGAGGATTGTTTGTTTAAATGTTCTAATGATATTAGTTGTGTAGTGTAGTTATTGACTTTGTAGGTACGTGCAGGAAAAACTATGTTTAGTTCTTCCCATGTTTGGTTTAACCAGTTGATTAACGGTATGTATGACTTTGAGTTATTAATATAATTTGTTCGATTGGAAAAATAATCACAATATGTTTTTCAAATTCGCATGTAAGAGCATCTTCCATAAATCTATTTTATTGTCATGCGGACTAGAAATTTTCATATGTCATCAAGAATGTCTATAGATGAAGAATTTTTAGATATTTTCAATTAAGTATTATATCAATTCTCTACGTTCTCTCTTTTTTAGTCAGGTATTATTTGTATTTGTTAAATTATTCTACAATTAACATTAACCGTTAAAGATAAATTTTTACATTTTTTTTTTATATACTACACATATAAAATTGTGACACCAAAAGTAATCAAAGATATTATGATGTTAAATTTTCACATTTCTTTTTATATACTACACATATAAAACTGTGACACTAAAAGTAATCAAAGATATTACATATGGTGATGTTAGACCGTTCAATAGTTAGACAACTATAATTTTTTTAAAAATGCATGTTTGTATTATGAAATACCATAATTTTATTTTCCTCCTATTTAAATGTATGATATTTTAGTATGAAGATGCTACCATGGAACGTGAACAATTTAGAAAAAAAATTTATTTCAATTCTTATTTCATTTCATTGGTTATTAATTAATATATATATATGATTATGACATCATTATTAATAGTTAATTTAGTAAAATGAAATATAAATAAATTGAAATATAATTTTGAAATATAAAAGTCATCCCAACTTCCTCTAATTTCTTTATTAAAAAATCGTTTTCATTCTGAAAAAAAAAAAAAGAAAGAAAGAAAAGAAGACGAGAAAACGAGATTTGTCATTGTCAAACGAAATCAAGTGAAGAAGATTTTGTCCCAAGGGTCCGAATCAGCTTCAGCTCCCATCTCCGCTGTCTCTGTCTAGGTCCGATGAATAACTACTGAAATTCAACAATTATTTTGAGTCTGAGTTCCTCTGAATGATTTTTACCCATCGAGTTGCAATATGATGTCGCTGAGAATATCACCACCATCTTCTGCAACAATTCCAACAAATAAATTATCACCTCACCAAAAGTCCACATTTTGTGTGCCTCTTTGGCAGACTCACATGGCAGATCGCCCTTCTTACAAGAAGTTATCTGCCGCCATTAAAGCTCAACAGGTTAAATCTCGCCCCCTTCTCTCTCTCTCTCGGTGTGATTGTGTGTGGTGGGCCTTTTCAGATTGGTGAAAGTTGGTGTCTTTCTGACATTTTCATAAGACATCACTAGGCATTGTGTTGTTTGGGTGTGAATTAAGAATTTGTACTGTGCAGACTGTGATAATTAGCAGCTGATGCCATTTGATCAAATGTTGAGTTTTGTCAGGAACCGAAAAAAAATGTTCTGATTTCGAATTAGGGAGCATGAGGTGAAGGGATATTTTTGGAAGAAAAACTGAAAAATACTGCTGAACTTTTTAGTGTGTGTATATGGTGGGATGATAAGATCACAGTGTTTATTGGATACCAAAATATTAATTCAGCAGTAATTATCTTGTCTTGGTCACGAAAGTAAGAGTGGTAGATTTGTGTGCTTCAAAGTACTGAGCACGGGATCTCATAGTGAGTTTCTTTAGGCAACCTCATTTCTTATATGTTTTGCTATTAGGTTGAATTGAAAGGTGAGTCAGCTACATTTTCGGAGACTAGAATATCCGATAGAGATGCTCTCACAATAAAAGAATGGGAAGTTGCAATGTTACAAGAGGAGATTGCAGTGAGTCAAGGTATTAAGATCAGGAGGCGGCCGCCAGCTGGACCACCTCTTGGCTATGTGGGCCCTTTAGAACTTTGTCTGAAGAATCAGGGCAGTAGCCCCCACAATATTCTTGAAGAAATTGTATGGTACAAGGATTTGGAAGTCACTCAGGTACTTTTGTTTGTTGTTAATGTGCGTATTTTTTTGACATATTCTGAATACGCAAACTGTAATACGGTTGGCCATTGGGTTTTGATCGGTAGATGAAAGAGGGAAAACCGCTTTCGGTGCTGAAAACGATGCTTGATAGTGCTCCACCTGTTAGAGATTTTGTTGGAGCTCTTAAGAGTGCAAATTCACGAACTGGTTTTCCTGGATTGATTGCTGAGGTGAAAAAGGCCTCCCCAAGTAGAGGGGTTCTGAGAGAAGATTTTGATCCTGTAAGTTTCTTCCCATCTCTATTTCATGTTTTCAACTTGAATTAAAAGAAAAATAAATTAAAAAAGAAAGTTGTATGGCTGAAAGACATTGTGGGTTGCAACTTAAAGTGTTAGCACTAAAGAAAACATGTATATGTGTGTGTGTGTGCGTGTGAGGAAAAGGGTTGTAGAGTAACTTAAAGTAGAATTCGTTGAAATAATGTGGGCTCAATGAAAACTAAATTTGCCGCTTTGTGCATGTAATAAACACTATGCATGAGTTCTGTAACAGAGCTTCTCGTGGAAAAGCTATGCAGATCACCCTTAGTTAGAGGATCTAAAACAAGAGAGAAGATTTATTTTATAGAATAGACTTTGTTAGCATTTACATTATTTTCTTTTCTGAAGATATGGTGAATTTGCTTGATGAATCTATTTTTGTCCAATTTTTCATGAATTCGACTTTTTGTTTGAATGTTTTACATAGCTGTGACCCATTTATGGTTGTCATTACAGGTTCAGATTGCTATAGCTTATGAAAAAGGTGGAGCAGCTTGCCTCAGTGTTTTGACTGACAAGAAGTATTTTCAGGTAAGAGACAACTCTTTCTTTTATTGGCTTTGGCTTGCAATAAATCTCCTTAATTCGCAGAACACTTATCCAGAATGTACATCATTTTTCCCTCCTCCTTTTATGGATAATTTAGGGGGGCTTTGAAAATTTGGAGTCAATAAGGAGTTCTGGAGTAGAGGTATTCTCTTATCAATAACATTTCAAGATTAACTATATGTTCGTAGCTTAATACTTAACTGTGTTATTTTTCCTTTTAACTTTGAGTACAGTGTCCTCTCTTGTGTAAAGAATTTGTAATAGATGCTTGGCAAATCTACTATGCTCGAGTGAAAGGTGCAGATGCGGTTCTCTTAATTGCTGCTGTATTAGCCGATCTTGAGATCGAGTACATGAATAAGATATGCAAATCGCTAGGGTTAGCAGCACTGGTTGAGGTTGTCATTATTTCTTGCCCATCAATTACTTGCAATATACTCTTGGAGATTCTTCGGATGCATGAATTCAGTATTTAATATTTATACTTTCACGAGATAGTGTTTCACTCAATAAAACCAGTCCCTACCATTGATTGACCTCTTCTCGCTTTGTACTTTTCTGTTTGCTAGGTGCATGATGAGAGAGAGATGGATCGTGTTTTAGAAATTGAGGGGATTGAACTTGTTGGCATCAATAACCGTGACCTTGGTATTTTTCCCTTGCTTTGAGGAATATGTTATATGTATTTTCTCTGAATATTTTTATTTTTTATGCGTGAAAGTCAGAACTCTATCTCAGATTCTCAATGCTGATGTGCAATTATGAAGAATGTAAATTTACTTAATTTTATTCGAGTCGTATGGTAAAAATCAAGTGCAAAAGCAACATTGAAGTGCTAATGTACACATTAATTCATCAAAAGTTTTATCATTAAGATGGAAAAAATGAAAAATATAAGAAAATAAGAGTGGAAATAATTTGCCTAATCTGTGTCATTGAAACTATTAGAATATTAAATTCCCCCGTATATGATTCTAGACATTGATCACAACCCGTGGTCCTGGTCATATGGCAACCTCGAAAGACCAGAATTAGCTACAGTTGAAGTCTTACCTCTTCTGATTACGATAATTGACTAGCTAAGACAGTTCAAGTTCAATCCTTGTGTATAGGGACATTTAAGGTAGATATTAGCAACACCAAAAAGCTTCTTGAAGGTGAGCGTGGAGAAAGGATACGTCAGAAGGGCGTTATCGTAAGTACCTTTAGAAGTAGTTAATTGTTCCACTTTCTCAAATTCAATATTCATTTTTAATTTTCTTTTTATCGTTTTTGACGTTTTGTTTAAAATTTCAGGTTGTCGGAGAGTCTGGACTTTTTACTCCAGCTGATATTGCATATGTACAAGAAGCTGGTGTTAAAGCGGTAAGATATTGTATGACTTTGTAAAAAACTTCGGTAACTGATGACTTTGTTAGGGAAAGCATAAAATCTCAATTGTTCATTACTCGGGAAAATTCAGTTGCACGTGTTGCATTTATTCATTTCCTTACTCATTCTCAACAGGTACTGGTAGGCGAATCGATTGTTAAACAGAAGGACCCTGCTACAGGAATAAATCAACTCTTTGGCAAAGATATATCTTTGTGATTTCTAAGATGTTTGACATTTGTGGCTCTTTGACTATGGAACCAAGGGTGTAGTTAGATCAAAATCTGTAATGTTAAGATATCACATGTTCCATATGTATAATTTGCATTTAGGAGCTTGTTTTGAACTTCAATGAGGAATTGTTGTATTTTAATTAAGGATTATTTTGCAATTTACTATTGACAAACATGACAAGAGTTGGTATTTGGCTTCTATTAGGGAATGAATATGTCAGCCAATCAAGAGCATGTGAAAGGGATCTTTTCAGTGCGAGTATTAGAAATTCAGTGTGAATTATAGCTCTCTTTTTCCATGTGAGACTCTTGAGATAGGATATCCAAATCAACAGGGCAGAACAGTAATTGTTGAAAAGCTTTTACTCACATGTTGAGTGACAAAATCTGCCCACTCTGATTTGGGGTAGGCGAATTTCATTTTGAAGTTAGGAATGTAAACAAAGTGTTGGGTAAAAAGTAAAAATATTGTGATTGAACTCAGTTAGAAGTCGTTCATATGAAACAGACAATAACAAACAAAATTTACTGCTCGTTTAGTTTACGATCTGTCATTTCATGATGAAGTTACGACAGAACAAGAAGCTCAAAACTGCAACACATCAACTTGTGAAGAGGCCAATGATCTTCTAACATGACCAATCATTTCATTTTATCTGGAGCAATTACGATTGATTTACGGACGAAAAAAATATTCAGGAAAAGTTCTGCAGCAAATGTCAATTGTATATTTGCATACAACTGCTAGATTCAAATCAAACTTGACATCTGTTGATTGGATCTCCACAATTTTTTTTTTTTTCTTAATTCTAAATATCCAGTGTATTTGGGTCTCTCAAGCAATCATGCTTGAGAAAACAATGTAAGTGATGACTCATTTCCAAGTCACAATATTTTGGATTGTTCTAAAGTATCTAAACACTAATCACCACTGATCCAAACAATCATGCATTACAATCCAAAACTTGCCCTATGGCCTTTTGCTCTATCCTAAAAGAGTCTATTGGATTTTTCTTTCCTGATTTGGCTATAAAAGACCAATTTCTGAAACATGTGTTGTCACCTTGATTTCACCTACTTTTCTTATTTTTTTCCTCTCTCAAGGTCCTATATTGATTTGATTAACTACATTTCCTTGATGTTATTGTGAAGGCTTCAAGCTAAGAAGATAGTTTTATTCAAATTTGTGCAGCTTCTTTGGATAATTCAACAGATTACAGCAAAAGATGACAATCATAGCAGTTCCAGTTATCAAGAATGGCTGCCTCACGATACGCGGCAAGGTTATTTTAACCGAAGTCCCCGAAAATCTCGTCATAACTCCATCATCCAAAGGATCCGCTTTTATTGGAGCAAAATCGAAAACATTAAGTTCTCATCATGTTTTCACTCTTGGAGTTCTTGAGTAAGTATATATACTTTGTCAAAAGCTGTTTTTGTTGAATGATCTTACTTTTCCATTTTTTTTTTAGGGAATGAAAGTGATTATGTTTTCCAAATTAAACTTCTGAACTCCATACAAATTAGTTTTTTTTTTTTTTCTTATTTGAAACAGAAATTGCAAGTTCATGTGCCTTTTCATCGCGAAAATATGGTGGATGATACCGCGTGTTGGAAAATCGGCGAGTGAGATTCCTATGGAAACTCAGATGCTTTTGCTTGAATCTAGACAAGAATCATCCATGCTCGATATCGAAGATGAAGAAAACACGGCCGATAACAATACGAGCCAAAATAAGTTTTATGTTCTCGTGTTGCCTGTTCTTGATGGAGCCTTTAGGACAACTCTGCAAGGGACATCCTCGAATGAGCTTCAGTTCTGCTACGAAAGTGGTCGGTTTTATTTTAGACTTTATATGTGAAAATCTTCTTGTAATGCAATATTTTTACTTACTTTTTTTCAGGATACTTGCTAAACATAAGGGTACATTTAACCACCTGGAGAGCAAAAAGGTACATATAGATTCCAAATCCAACTTTTCTTGTTTTAAACTAGTATAGAGAATATCATAACATGAAGAGTCGAATTCTTTTTTGCGTTTTCTCTTTGAAGCATGAAAATTTTAACTTAGATTATTGTAAAAATACAGTCACCAGCTCATTTAGATTGGTTCGGTTGGTGCACTTGGGATGCTTTCTACACTGAAGTCAGTCCAAATGGAATCAAAGAAGGTCTTCAAAGGTACGAAGTGTGTATCATTAATTCGTACAGCAAAAATATTAATTCTTTAACTGGTTTACATGAAAAAAATTGTGTTTTTGGCAGTTTCAAGGAAGGAGGGATTTCTCCCAAGTTCCTGATCATAGACGACGGGTGGCAAGAAACAGTAAACGAATATAAAAAAGAAGGCGAGCCGTTTATTGAAGAAACACAGTAAGATTCTACGAGTTGCAACTGATTAATTAATTATTCAAGCTTCGAGTATAGAATAGATGTGTTTTCTTTTGTAGGTTTGCCACCAGATTAACAGATATCAAAGAAAACAGTAAGTTCAAGGGATCAAATACTGATGGCACAAGAACAAATCTGAAAGAGTTAATCCACTACATCAAACAAAACTATGGACTAAAGTAAGAAAGATAACCCGAATGAAGAACATCATTTTCAATACCGATGTAAAAAACGAACTTTGTCTTTTCGAATGCAGGTATGTGTACATGTGGCATGCTTTAGCCGGATACTGGGGAGGTGTACTTTCCTCATCCGAGTCACTCAAAAAGTACAATCCTAAGCTCGAATATCCACTTCTATCTCCGGGAAATATCGGGAATATACGAGACGTGGCCTTAGACAGCTTGGAAAAATATGGAGTTGGAGTTATAGATCCTCATAAGACTTATGACTTTTACAATGACATGCATAGCTATCTTGCTAGTAGTGGAGTTGATGGAGTAAAAGTCGATGTTCAAAATCTGTTGGAAACCTTAGGATCCGGATATGGTGGGAGAGTTTCGATTACTGAACAGTATCACAAGGCACTTGACGAGTCTATCGAGAAAAATTTTGGCGAAAATAACTTGATTTGCTGCATGTGCCACAATTCGGACTCCATCTATAGGTAAATCTATATTCCTCATTGCATATTAAGTGAACTGTAAATCTATAGAGCTCGAAAAAGTCATAATTCAAAATCTGCAAACAGAGGTACAATAACTACTGGACTAAAGGAAAAGTGCCCCTTTGGCTTTAAGATGGAAAATGTACTTTAATTCTTCACTAATAAAAGTTTTTTTTTTTTTTTTTTTTNGGTCCTTTCTTAGTTCTAAGAAGAGTGCAACTGCAAGAGCATCTGAGGATTTTATGCCGAACGAGCCGAATTTTCAGACATTGCATATAGCATCTGTGTCTTTCAATAGTCTTCTCTTGGGCGAAGTTGTCGTGCCAGACTGGGATATGTTCCATGTAACCATTTTCATTTTCTTGAATTATTATATGATTTTCTGGAAAAACTAATTCACGTAGTAACAGTGTATTTTAATTAATGAAGAGCAACCATAACACAGCTGAGTTCCACGGCACAGCAAGAGCATTAGGCGGTTGTCCGGTTTATGTCAGGTAACATAAATGAAAAAAAGAAAAGAAAAGAAAAGGAAAACTTGTTTTCATTTCAATACTCATTAATGTGTTGATATGATACAGTGACAAGCCAGGAAAACATGACTTCAACATCTTAAAGAAACTTGTTCTTCCTGATGGTTCCATTTTGAGGGCTAAATACGCGGGCCGGCCCACTCGAGACTGCCTCTTTGTCGATCCTGTCATGGATGGCAAAAGGTAACTTTTTTTTTTCTTTCTCTATTATGCTAACTCGAAAAGAAATGAAAATAGTGTTTTGAAATGTAACAAATGAATGTTGAACTTTTTTCTTTGACAGCTTACTCAAAATATGGAACTTGAATAAAGAAACCGGAGTAGTTGGAGTTTTCAACTGCCAAGGGGCCGGAAGTTGGCCTATGAAAAATTCTGTCGAGAATCTCACGCCTTCAGCTAAACGACTCTCGGCCTGTGTTAGCCCACTCGACGTTGAATTTCTCAATGAAATTGCAGGGGATAACTCTACCGAAGATTCTGCAATATATGCATTTAACTCAGGTTTATATATTCAGTAAAATATCATCATGAGAGATAAATTAGTAGAAAACTTAAAATTTTATATATATATTTTCTGAACTATTTCTGTTTGCAGGTTCACTTTATAGATTGCCAAATAACAGAACTGTTGAAGTGTCTCTAGATGTATTACAATGCGAAATATTTACTGTCTCCCCAATAAAAGTGAGTGGATTGTATGTAAATCTGATATCGTTTCACAATTACTATCGACTAAAGTACTGAATGGAGTCCAAAAAATCGAACATTTGTGAACAGGTGTTCAAGGAAAGAATCGATTTTGCGCCAATTGGCTTAGTCAACATGTACAACTCAGGTGGAGCAGTGGAAGAGTGTGCATTTAAGGACACAATAAAAATCAAAGCACGAGGGGCCGGATTATTTGGTGCATATTCGAGTATCAAACCACATTCGTGCAAGGTGAACAAGAAAGACGAGGACTTCACCTATAGTTCGGAAAATGGACTATTGAATATTAATCTTCAAAGTGAGAGCAGCTTCACAGAGATTGATATCATATATTAAGGTGGTATCATGTAATAATCTATAGGAAGTTTTGAAAAGCTCTATCGAAAGCACGTTGAGTTGCATGTTAAGAGAATCTATTGCCAAGCTTAGCATGTTGAAATCTGAATTTTTAGAGAAGAAGGATCTTCTGTTTATCTTTGTCTAAGGTTGATAACCATAAAGAGAAAGTGGCCTAATGTTCAGATTCATGAGGCTGCAGATTATCCCTTTCATTTTCATACATTTTTTCTTGGCTTGAGGTACAAATATACACTAAAATGTGTGTGCTCATCGGCACATTCTGTATACAAAATTCCTAATTAATGTACAGTTCACATTTCCATGAAATGTTTTTATCAAAGTACCAAAAGTATATGCCAAATGAGATGATGATGTATATGATAAGCAACACAGATATGTGAATCAAAATACCTTTCTTTTAAATTTATATTTTACACACATACACACATATGTATATATTACGTATTTATAAAAAAATATTAAATATAAATTTGCCTTAATGAGGAAATTCATCCATGGAGTTACATTTATGCAAATTATAATTAAATTTTGTTTTAGAAGTTCAAAATTTTTAAAAGTGAATTCTAAAAATATATAATTTAATTATATTAATTAATAATCTAATATGTAATTAAGTTAGGAAATAATATTTCAAATACATATTTTTAAAATTCACTTTTCAACTTTTAATCTTCTAAAGTCAATTTTTTTTTACAAAAAGATATTTAATAGTTTTGTTATAAGTTAAAATATAATTTATAAATAAATATAATAATATATTGGTTCATATAATAATATTAAAAAAATTAGTTGAGGCTTTAAATTGAAAATTAAAACATAAAAGTGAAAGAGTAACTTACAATTAAAATCTTCAATTTAAAAAAGAAATAATAAATGTTGACCTTACCTGGATTCTGGACACAATTCTAAAAAATTGGAGAATTTCCCCAATTGAAAACGCTTATTTAATTAAAAAAATATATTAAAAAAAAAAAAGTAACCTAATTGTTTTTCTTTTTGCGGGCTTGATATTATAAATAGCCAGCTTTGTTACTTCTCCTCCCTCGACTTATCAACTCAAATCAAAGCCCTACCAGCCGAGAAACCCTTTTGCCTTCTCATCTTTCTTCTTCGTAAACGGTCTAAGCTGCGAAAAAGATCGTCTTTTGCAGCCAAAACATCGAAGCCCGTTTCAATGGAATCCAACGGCTGTTTAAATTCAGGCGCATCATCAGTTTCTACTTCATCCAAGATTCCATGCACGGACCTTTACACACCCGTAAAATTCCGGCTATCTGGGCAAGGCGTAGTTTTTATCAAAAAGCAAAAACCCCTTTACAGGTTTCCTGTTGTAGCTTCTCAACAAGGAAAAACCATCCCGGCGGTTCACGAGGAGAAAGAAGCACCGGCGGAGAAAGAAGAGCCAGCGGTTGTTCTTGAGGAGAAGGAAAAGCCGGAAGTTGTTCTTGAGAAGAAAGAAGAAAAGAAAGGGCAAGAGTCTCCGGGGAATTCAAACCGTGTCGCTACTGAGAATGGAGATGGCCATGTGAAGCCGCCTGAGGGAGCTAAGGTTTACATTGGGAATTTGCCGTACGATGTCAATGGCGAGAAATTGGGACGGCTTTTTGAGCGGGCTGGTGCGGTGAGATTTGCTGAGGTATGGTGGTATATATTGTCTTTGAAATTTAAGAAAATCCTTTTTTTTCTTTTTTTAGTTTAGTAACAGTTTTATTTTGTACATATTAGGGATAGAAATTCATGTCATTATGTCTTGATGGTCCTGTGTTTTCCGTGTATTCATTGGAGTAAATCATAAGCATGATTAGGATTGTAATTTAATTGAATAGTATGCTCTGAGGCTTGTTGTGTGTGGGAAAGCATGTCTTATAAGTCATTTTTGTAATAGTTGTTTGTCGGACTGTGCTCTCATGCAATACCTCAAGTCGCTAAATATGACGATTAATTTTTATGTGGTCTCCAGAAAAATCATGAAATATTATTATGATTTTTTATTTTTGGGAGTTGTGTGCCTTTGCAGGTTAAATACAATAAGGAAACTGATGAGAGTCGAGGGTTTGGGTTTGTAACAATGGGCACAGAGGAAGAGGCTGATAGGGCTGTGGAGATGTTCCTTGGTTATGTAAGTTTTCAACTTGTTGCTCAACCATAACTAGTTACTGCTGCTATGTGTTTTTACTTTTAATTATCTAGCCATTTTGTATAATTCGTGACTGGTAAATGGAATAATTTTGAATGTGAGAGATAGATGACACTAAAGATTTCAGCTTCGTTAAATGTTGCCATCCTAGTTATTTTTTATCCCTGCAGCATCAATAAAATATTACTCTTAGGACTTAAAGTTGATGATGCAAGATTATACAGTTTGCATTATTATGTTGAAAATAAATGAACCAATACACTCAAGAGTTAATATAACAAAGTGATTTTATTATAGAAATAAATATTACAAATGTATCACACTCACAACTCACAATATATACACTCTGTTTTTGTAGTACAAGCACCTCACTCACTCTTTTCTTTTTCTTTGATCACACAAGACACACACACACTCTACCTATATTTATACTAGTCATAGAAGCTTCTAGTTTGTAGATTAATTAGTAAACAAACATTAAAATAATATAGCTAGCACTTTCTCTTCTAGCACTTTCTTTTCTAGCATTTTCTTAACTAATTGATATTTAATATTGCTAGATATTTCAAGAAACTTCTTCATATGTTGGTGATGATTTAATTAACATATTATTGGTTGTTTTATACTTTCATGATCTTTCTCTTGTTCTGAAATCTTTGCTGCATGAAGTTTCTCGATGATATTTTAATGATTGTAGTCATATTCTTTTTTGTTTAAATACAGATAAGAGAGATGTGAAAGATCGATATTACAGCCTGAGTGTATTTTTTATCATGCCAAGAGTTGTTGCTTTATAATCCAGATTATTGTACACATTCATGTGTGTGCTAGTGCATTCAGTGTTTATTGTGTTGTGTTTAATATTTTACAACGGAGGCACAGGAATCCGTTAAAAATTATAAACCCGCTGAATAAACTTAATAGATATTATCCTATATCACTGTTTCTTTCAAATCCCGCATGCGTGTTATTGGCTGTATGTTACTAGACTCCATATTTGCATAGCTAGAGGAAATTTTTGAAGAAATTGAGTTCATCCCAACTAATGGCGTTGAATATAGTGATGAGCTTTTGCAGCATCTTTTCCATTGGAAGTGCCAATTCTTGCACACGAGCCTGCCTTAGCCCCTTTTAGCTATTCATATTATTTTCCATCTCTTGAACAGGATATGAATGGCAGACTCTTAGCCGTTAACAAAGCTGCTCCAAGAGGATCGCGAATCGAACGGCCTGCTCGAGTGCTTGAAACGTCCTACAGATTGTATGTTGGCAACCTCCCGTGGAGTGTGGATGACACGCGTCTCGAGCAGATTTTTAGCAAGCATGGCAAAGTTTTGAGTACTCGAGTGGTGACAGATCCTGAGACTGGTGATTCAAGAGGATTTGGCTTTGTGGTCATGTCGAGTGAGGTTGAGATGAAGCAGGCCATCAAAAAAGTTGATGGGCGGGTAATGGCCGTTTCTACTTTCTCAATTGCATTTTCCTTTATTTTCTTTCCAAAAAAAAAAATTAAAGGACTAAAAAGAATAGAAGGCAAACTTCTATTCTATATCTGTTCTTTCCTAATGGGGAAAATTGATCTGGGGTATTGTTTTGTTATTTATTAAATATAGAGTTCCGGTTAGTTGTATGCTGATGGTTACCATTAATCTTGCCAGATTTCAAGTTTAGTGGTTTTATGCGTGAATAGTATGCTAATCGTTTGTCAATGGTGTTTGGTGCAGAGTTTTAATGGGAGGGAAATGAGAGTAAATGCTGCTGAAGGCAAACGAAGACAAAATGGCAGTTCTTGATGACTTGATAGCCAACCGAGCAGTGGTGTTAAATCAGAAGTCTGATGATGATGTTAATTTCTACTGTGTCATCAGAGAAAATTGGATTATGCTCATTAATAGTAAACCATTTTCCCTTTCGATTCATTTTGTATCATTAGGCATTGATGAGTCTTTCAAAACTCCATCACTTTCTCTTTGACGATACGTTTAATGAAAGAAATCTATTCTGCTTGATGTTATTGAGCAAGAGTAGCAAGTCTATTTGCTTGGCAATTGAATATATGTATATATACAACCTAAATAAAATTAGACAAACAAATGCTACCACACAAAGAAGTAAAAACTAGAATATCAAATCACACAACTCCAAATGCAAAGCATTTATTTTTTGTACATGAACTTTCGCCATCGAAATTATAAAATGGTGATAAGCCGATAGGTTTCATCGCGTAATATGTTTGGTTTTCTATACGGATTTCAGAAATATGTACACAGGGATAAAATCGTCCAAACGCAAATAACCTTCACCTACGGCCCAACACAATCACTACAATCACACACCGAAAAGCAAAACAGAATAACTACACAAGGAAGTGCCTCTTAGTATCCCCGAATTTGATCTTCTCTGCCTGTGAGTGGGACATAACGAACTGAAGTCTCACTACGGATACTTGTGGTGCTGTCCATGTTCTTGTCTACAACTTGAAGGTCCTGGAAAATATTACCGACTGGAATTACCAATCTGCCCCCGGGCTTCAGTTGTTCGATAAGCGCTGGAGGAATTTCTGGGGCAGCAGCTCCAACGTGAATAGCATCATAAGGTGCAAACTCGGGCCAGCCTTGCCTACCATCTGTAACATATTCATATAAGACGATGAATGTGGGTGGGCACAGTATAAAAATCATCCAAGTGCAATAATAATTTTCTAAATGTGAATAGCATGATCCAGGCAGAAAAAACACTTTAACGCAAACAATAGTCGAGCATCCCGTTGCAGTCACATTCTGCAATACAATCTGTTTGTCCCAGTGACAGTCATGTTGCTAGAAACAGACATTTAATTAGCCCCAAAGACAAAAAAAAAAATAAGATTTAGCTTTTACTATGATCACATAGGAGAAGAAAATGTAAGAAGAGTTTATGCTCTTTGCAGGCTACCACCAAATAGCCTTTCTTAAAGGTTTATCTCACATCATGATGATCAGTTGTTTAACAGATTCTTTCTTGTACAACAGAGATCGAAATTCTAGATAACCTCCAGGTCTTTTTTCTTCCTCTGCTATATTTAAAAACAAAAAACTACAAATTGCTAAAGAAGGAGGTACCGTTAATGTTCATGTGGCCCAATATCTTCAGACTATTTTCACCATCTTCCCTAGACAAGTCCCTATTTGCAGTGAGTTTTTTTAATAAAGCGTAAAAAAAATAAAGAAAAAGAAATCTTTCTCCACTTAATGCAACTATTTATTTCTACAACAGGTTCACAACAAAATTTTTGATGGAAGATACTTTAATGCATTAAACTTAGAAAAACACGAAATTTCAAGCCACCTCCAACATGTACCGACAAGGATCCTTCTTTAAGCAGTGGAGCTGCTGCACTCTTTTGGATATTCTTAATGGATGACTCAACCAACTCAGGAATATGTTCCACACCAACAGCACGACCTTGTTTCCCAACCATAACAGCAAAGCACGCAGTCAAATACCCAGTCCCTGCAATAAGAGTTGTATGACAACGTGCAGGATATAGAAACTGCCACAGTGGAAATTATTTTCACCTGCACCAAATTAATAACATATGCCACAGAAGATACCAACTTCTCACAAAACCATCAGTTTGCTTGACTCACAAAGTGGTCATCAAATAACACAATGGCTGCTAAAAAGTAGATTAAACTATCTCACAAGAATGTGCTTCCACTATGTTCTGAGTCTTAAAAATACATAGGAACACAAGTTCTACAAGAAAATGGCTAAGAAGTTCATAATCAAACAGCTGAAAAAAGTACACGATTACCTGAACCAACATCCAACACATGCATGCCAGGCTTTAAATGATTCTCCAACAACTGGAGGCACATGGCATGCATATGAGGGGCAGAAATAGTAGCATTATAACCTATCTGCATAGGGCTATCAATGTATGGCGGTGAACCATCAGGGACGAACAAGGCCCTGTCAACGGTTTCCATTGCTTCTGCTACTTTCTTTGAGCTTATCACCCCATAGCTCTGCAAATGTTTCACCATGTCTTTGTTTCCATTAATGCTACTACCTGTCCAGAACCGCTGCAAAACACAAAACACAACTGAGATTATGATTCACCACAAAATTTCATCCGACGAAGAGGAATGCAGAAAATTACAAATATTCAAAATTTTATAAGCAACACAAGCTACTTTGTCAAAAGAAGGATTTATAATCTACAATAACCAGATGAATGTCAAATGACATTCTCACACAAATTACACTGTGTTTCCATATCACCAAATCAGTCAAAATCACAAAACACATTCTCATCATATACTTAGTGCATCCTACTTTTTCATTTGATCCGCGCAGTTTCAGCTGAAGAACTCCCAATTCCATTGGGCATCACTCATTACCCCACAAATGCTATTTTTGCAGTGAGCTCATAACGAGAAACATAATCTTTGTTTAACACATACAATACAATATACCATCTTAGCTAACACAAGAGCTAGAGCCATAGCGTGATGGCTATGCACATCTAAAACCTGAATTAACCTATTTACTACCTGCATCCTTAGGTGCACAGTTCAGCTTTGCATAATCACAATACGTAGACATTCCAGAAGCAGCACCTCCGCACCCCAATTTAAAAACGAGCACTCTCAAACAAAACCAAACAAAAACACATATCGATGATGAGTATACGCGCGTACCTCCATGCGGAAGAAGAGTGAGTTCCCCGTAAAGAGATGAGAGTTGGGAAGGCGGCGAAAGCAGCGGGAGGAGAAGGCGACGGCGGCGGCGGGGGCCAGCTGAGGCGGGGTGATGTGTGAAACTGGTGACCTAAGAGGCGCACGATAGCGGCAACAGCACGCGACAAGTGAATAATGAGACGCGTAAGCCATTTTTGTTTATATACAAATTGATGCTTCTCGCATTTTCTCCATCTCTCTCTCTCTGTCTGATCCTCATTCCTCAGTCATCCCTGAGTACTTTTTGATGTTGGGCTTTTTAGTTTTAAAGTCCAGCTAACCTGCTCCAGGCCGTTAAATAAGGTCTACTTAGTGGGCTATGTTTTGAGGCCTATCAATCTCTTCCTCTTCCCGCTAACTGCAGTGGGTTTAGCCCAACACGAGAATACAACATTAAGTCAATAACAATAAATTTGTTCTCCGGTGGAGCTGTAACGAGTTCCGACTCAAGCTCGTTAAGTTAACGAGCCGAGTTGGAACCTAAACGAACCGATTTATATAAAAAAATTAAGAAATTTACGTAAGACCTCTATTTATCAACTCTGACGAGCCTAACTCAATTTGCAGCTCGTTTCATTTAAAAACTTTGTAATCTTATGGGAGAACTTCAATTTTTTTAATGATGAAATAAGAGGAATAAAAGCAAATCTTACTCTTTAGTATGCTTTTTTTTTTTTTTTTCNCATATAATAACAAAATAAAATAAATGAAATTAGTTTTCTATTTATGGACTTATCTCCTTTTTTGCTTTTGCTTCAGTTAAGAAAGGAACTATTTCTCCCCTTTATCTCAAGGTAATGCAACTATTTTTTGACAAAGTTAAAGGTAAACAGACAACATCAAAGCATTCATTATAGCTGTTGCCTATCTTAAGCATCTTAAGCTTCCAATCCTTCCCTTTATTTTGGCTGTCTTATACTTAAACAGCTCTTTCGAGAAACACAATGTTGCCTGTGCAAGAGATTCTACATGAAGTTAACATAGTATAGTGTAGTTTTTGGTTGCGTCTAGTAAACGAGCCTCTCTGGAGGTTCCTGCACCAAAAACACGTCAAACAGAGGTTTCTTTTCTGACACGTTAAAATGTCTGAGGCTTATAAACCTATTAAAAAGCTGAACTAGAGGTATATAGTAGCAATCCTTATCCAGTTCAAAAAAGATGGCCCTAATCATTTAACACCTACAAGCAAAGAACTTCATCCAAAATGACTTTATTCCCTTTCCCTGTCAATATATAGTTCTAGCATCCCAATGCCAAACCAACTGAGAAATCCTAAAAGAGAGAGAGAAACAAAAGNAAAAAAAAAAAAAAAGATGACAAGTGTTATTGAGCCTGCCAAGAACCGTAGAATGATTCGCCGAGATCGTCACTTGATGTCATCAAATGACGATGCACTCAGAAAGCAAATTCTGATAAGTCATTCTCCGGATAATGTCTCTGTTGATGTCGACTCAATTCTTGTCATAGTAAAGGATATTCAGGAACTTGTTTCCCCTGGCATTGATGGCATTCTAAATGTACTTTTCAATATATTGATTTCTGTTTCCAAAGTGAACTTAGTTAAAATGTGAGCTAATTTTCAGTTCATTTGGCTTGCTTCGGTTTTGTATTTAGGGATCGGGAAAGCATACAAGCAGAGCAGAGGTTAATGCAGCCTTGATAGAGTTTGACGGTATTCAGGACAAATTGGCTTTTGTAATAAACAAGATTTCGTGTGAGGTGAGTACCGTCTGACGAATCATGTTTAATTTGTGAGCGCAAATTGCAATGTTTGTCTTGTAGCCATCTAAGTAATGTGACTAACTAGAATTGCCATTTTCGCCCATAACTCCACAAAGTTAGGATTTTTTTTTGTTGGGCAAAACTCAGCATGTTTGGTGTATTATTATCCATTTCAGCTATCATGCAATTTCTCACAAGGAGACGGGCACTCGTTCACGATGGAAATACTCAACATGCTATCAACTTACACATGGGGCGCCAAGTCAGCAGTCGCCTTGGCCTCGTTCTCCGCAAACTACGCTCAGTTCTGGCTGCTCGCCACACTCTTCACAACCGACCAGCTCGCAAAATCGGTCTGCATTCTCAGACGAGTACATGACGTGATAGAGTTATCCGACGTGATGAGATCAAGATTCCAGACGGTCAATGATATAGTCAAAGTTTCGGTGGACTTAATGAGGTGTTTTGCCGAGTTTGAAAGGCTGCCGTCTAAGTACATAACTAACGAGGCCGAGCCTCTGAGTGTGGCAATGGAGAATGTCCCGACTGGCGTTTATTGGGTTGTGAGAAGTTTGGTAGCGTGTGCTTCTCAAGTTACCACAACTCTTGGATTGAGCAATAAGTGAGTTTTTTT